TTTTTTTTTTGTATTTTTAGTAGAGACGGGGTTTCACTATGTTGACCAGGATGGTCTCGATCTCTTGACCTCGTGATCCACCCGCCTCGGCCTCCCAAAGTGCTGGGATTACAGGCGTGAGCCACCGCGCCCGGCTAGAATTGGCACCTTTAAAGAGGAAAGAAAAGAAGAAAGAACACGTCATCGGCCTTGGACCTCAGGTGGCTGAAGGAGAGAATGTATTTGGTGTCTGCCATATCTTTGCATCCTTCAATAACAATTTTGTCCATGTCACTGATCTTTCCAGCAAAGAAGCCATCTGCCATGTGACCGGTGGGATGAAGGTGAAGGCAGACCGAGATGAATCCTCGCCGTATGCTGCTATGTTGGCTGCCCAGGATGTGGCCCAGAAGTGCAAGGAGCTGGGCATCACTGCCCTACACATCAAACTCCGGGCCACAGGAGGAAATAGAACCAAGACCCTCGACCTGGAGCCCAGTTGGCCCTTAGGGCCCTTTCCCGCTCGGGTACGAAGATCGGGCAGATTCAGGACGTCACCCCCATCCCTTCTGCCAGCACCCGCAGGAAGGGGGATCGCCATGATAGCCATTTGTGAACAAGACTACTCAACATATTTTCTATTAATAAATTGTCTTCATGTAAAAATAAAAAAATAAAGTTAAAAAAAAAAAAAACAAAGACAGTCCCACAGGAACACCTACAAGTGTATGTTTCAACCTGGTCTTCAGATCTCACTGCCCTCCTGGAGAAGCCCCACACACCAGGCAGCAGTGGGGAGCTGGGCTGGACTGAGCTCCCCTTCAGGACACAGACCCAGCCCTGACCAAACCCCATCCGGAGCGCAACCACTCCCCTCTCTGTGGATCACAGGCTCAGCTCTGCCCTCAGAAACGGAGGACACAGAGCCTGGACGCTCAGTGCTGCATGGATTACTATCACCTGGGACATTGCCAGTATTACTGAGGGTGGGTTCCATCCCATCAGAATCAGAATCTCTGGTAAAGCAGAAGAATGTTCTATTTGCAAAATGCCTCTGCACTCTAATGTGAACCAGGGCTGATCTCCATTCAGAGGGGCGAGCCCAGCACAGACACGAATACTGGCTCTGCTCTGCCCTTTGGGCCTTCTTCTCACCAGGATCTAGACAGTGGATGGCAAAGCCACAAAACTAATCTCAAGAACAGGCAACGTGGACTAGAGGTGGGGTGAAGGTTGGGCTGAGTGAAAGGAAAACAAAACTTGGGGCCCCAAAATCACTAAGCGAAAGGGAAAAGCCAAGCTGGGATCTGCTTAGGAAAGCACAATCCCCTTCTATTCAAAGCCACCCCTCTGCTCCCTGACATAGATGTGTATCTGACTGCTGTCTTTGGAAAGGCTAATCAGAAACTCAAAGTGAGGATGCAGCACAGTGGCTCACACCTGTAATCCCAACACTTTGGGAGGCCCAGGCAGGCAGATCACTTGGGGTCAAGAGATTGAGAGCAGCCTGACGAACATGGTGAAACAACGTCTCTACTAAAAATAAAAACACCTGGCCAGGTGAGGTGGCTCATGCCTGTAATCCCAAAACGCTGAGAGGCCAAGGTGGGCATATCGCTTGAGGTCAGGAGTTCGAGACCAGCCTCACCACCATGGAGAAACTCCATCTCTACAAAAAATTCAAAAATTAGCTTAGTGTGGTGGGGCACGCCTCTAGTCCCAGATACTCAGAAGGCTGAGGAAGGAGAATCGCTTGAATATGGGAGACGAAGGTTGCAGTGAGGCAAGATTGTGCAACTGCACTCCAGTCTGGGTGACAAAGTCTCAAAAAAAAATGATATATAGCCGGGCGCGGTGGCTCAAGCCTGTAATCCCAGCACACTGGGAGGCCGAGGC